GGCAGTTTCCATGATGCGGGGATGGTACTTTGTAGAAGTTATTTCCTAAATGTTTTGGTTGGTGTAAGTTCTGTTGCCGCCTCCACAAACAGTTTTGGGTGTAGTCCATCTGGCCCTGGACTCTTACTTGGGGAAACTTTTTTTTTGCCTTTTCAACTATTTCTTCTGTGAGAATTATGTTGGTTAAAGGTGTAGCAGGTTCTCTTGTTTCAATTTTTGGTATTTCTCCTATCTCGTCATTTACAATCACGGTTGTGAAGTAGATGTTCAATGTTTCTGCTGTCTCAATGTCTGATGATGTTAGTGTCCCATCTTGTTTTTCGAGAGTAATGCTGTCTGATTTTGTTTTGGTTTTCGTTCGCACATATTTCCAAAAGCCTTTGGGATTTTCTTTAATGTTTACAGCTAGATTTTGTTAAAAAGTATATCTTGATTTTCTTAAGGTAGCACTTGTTCTTTTTCGTGCTTGTCGATAGCGTTCATAATGTTCTGGTGTTTTGCAGTGCAAATGTTTAGTCCAAGGTGGATGTTTTTTCCTCACTGCTTGTAGTGGTTTTTTATCCAAGGAACGTGTTTACTTCACATTAGTAGCCTTGTTCACTGGTATACGTTTTTCTGTTGCATCTTGTAATTTTTCAACGAAGGCATTCCATGTTTCGTCTAAACTGTCCGCGTTGTCTAGCTGATTCCAGTTGACTAGTTTAAGGTCATTTCGTAAATTGTTTTAATCCCCTTTCTGAATGTTTCGACTCGATATCCGTTTCGATTGTTTCTCTGTAGTATAGCATTTGTAATTAAATGTCAAAGTGACGTGGTCACTCTTTCAAATGTAAGGTAGCACGGTCATATCATCACTATCTACCATATCATTCTCATTGGTTAGGATTAGATCCAAAATGGATGGCCGATTTCTTTTTCGATTTCTAGCTGGTTGTTTGACATATTGAATTAAAAATAAATCCCTGATGATTTCTAAGAAAAGACTGGCAGGATGATTGGGTCCCTTATCTGTAGTCATGCTATCCCAATTGATCTCTTTATGATTAAGGTCACCCACAATCAAGATGTGTGATGGCTTATTTACCTAAGCCTACGTCAAATAGGGGAACAACAACAACAAATAAATAAATTGTAAAACATTTTATTTATGAACAATTGCCTTATAGTGAGATTTAACATGTAAAGGAATTGAGAAAATATGATAGAAACATTATAAATATATTTAAAGTCAAACTGGCGTGAATATAATTAAACCATTTGACTCTTGATAAGAATTTAATACACATTGTAACATAATTACGCTGCATGCTAATATGCACGTAAAAAAATACAAAATTCATCAATTAATTAATCCCTGTAAAAAATCAACATACTGTCCGTCACATGATACTGTCCGGTTTAATCGACTTCATTAGCAAATGAGCTTATCAGTGAACACTTTTGGTGTTTGCGAATGGACATAGTGGTCGAAAAACACAGGTTCTGTTTTCCATCTACCGATTTTTCTGACAACATTTGGATTAAAGTCATTCGCTATAGCACACGTAGCACCAGTCGGACGGAACGACTTGGCAAAATAACCGAGGTTCTCAAGTCCAGCTAATTGTACTGCTTCATTTTGAATACTAGCTACCGTGGAGGAGTCTATTACTTTGTACGGTTGCCGTAAACTCAAAATACTCCTAATTCTGGGGGATCACGCAAACTGACCGTTTTCTCAATGTAGTCCCTTAAGACTCCTACTGGATCAAACTTTGTAAACGAGTGAGGATGAACTTGTACTTCGAATCCATCCCTTTTTGTGTCATTTTTATCCCGAAAAAACTGGATTTTAAGGGAACCATCGTCTTGAAAGTCGAGTTGACGCGAAGAGAACACGACACTGCCATCTACTGTCTTAGTCCTGAGGGCAATATCAGAATGACGTAGCAAACCAGACAAGCTGAGTTAGGTCATCGCTTTTAAACTCAAATCCTTTATGCACAACTCAGAGGTATGTCCCCATGATTGATACAAACTAGTAAATTTGTCCACCGGCATTACCGTATATTTTGCATAGGGGCCTGAGTATAAGCACTCACAAGAGCCTGTGTCATATTGAATATGGACGACGACCGTCCTTGACTAGAAACACCAATAGCGTCATACATCGCGTTTATCGCCGCCACAGCACAATTTAACTTTGATTTCGGTCTCACTGAATTACGTGCCATGTCATGAAGAAAATCAGCAATCACATACGATTTTGTAGGAGGAAACGTACATCCCCCGAGAATACCATGTTTGTGGAACTGATCAATGTACCTGTCATATAAACATACAGTAGATGGGGCGATATATAACTGATAAACGGACACGTTCTTTTCTGAACAGCCTTGATCCTTTTAATTCTGCTCCCACAAACTCGCCAATCATACAGTTTCCATCGACTGTTTTGTATTGGTTCCGCATTGCCCCATGTACTTATCACTGAATTCCGGACGTTTTTTATCCGAAAGGGTGGGCTTATCGACGCATCCACGAGGTTTTTTTGGTACCAAGGTTGTGCCTTCCATGCAGGGGCGATAATCGTGGCATTCGCCTCCTGATTTCGCATCACATTTAATACCTCTGGAATTAGGCGTAAAGGTGGGTTGACATAGTTGTTGTGACGTTGCCAGTCCTGTTGTACTAATGCGTCCACCCCTGAAGCCAGTCGGTTGTAATAACGGCTGTTGAAGTTTTCCAGTTGTGTCGTAAGCACGGATGCAAACCTGTCTATGGTGTGTGGACCCCACATGTTGTCCAATAAGTGAAATAATGCGGGATGTAGTCTCCATTCGTATTTGTCATTTAGGCGACTTAGAGAGTCCGCTCCCGTGTTGTCCTTCCCGGCTATGTGACAACAGCTGATAGATACGTGGATGTTTATTGCTTCCGCCCAAATATCTGTCGCTATTCGGTTTAATTCCGGACTGGAACCATCCATTTTGTTGAGATAAGCGAGTCGTTATGTTGTCCGACCTGATTTGAATTGTTTTTCCTTGGAAGTCCTGGCTGAAAGAGACCAGGGCCATATACACACGATCAAGGGTTCGAGCTCGTATCGACGGCTTAGATAACGCTCGTCGTATATCTGCACGCACTTTTTTGATACGCGCCTTTGGTACTTGAGAATTACTGAGTCGTTATCTGTGACAACTAAATATCCAAGAAACTCCTTTGTGCTTTCGGGAGTTAAAGAAGAATTCTCCTCGTTAATGTGGAATCCAAGCGTTTTGGGTGTATCAAGTACACAATCACGGTGTGCGTTTATGTCCGAGTCTGTTGCACAAATTAAAATATCATCAACATATGCTATAAGACGAATATTCAGGGTTCTGAAGTGTTCACTCACTTGGCGTAATATTTTACAGAAGTAATATGGGCTGGATTGTAACCCAAAGGGTTAGACTTTCTACACATAAAATTGGTTTTTTTCCAGCAAAACCTCAAAGATTTCCTGTAGTTTTTATGAACCGGAATGTGAAAAAAATCCGTCTTTCAAGTCTATTGTTACAAGTTTGTCCCCTTTTCGTACTACCTGGGGTAACACTGACATCTTCATACCGAAACTTAGGCGTAACACTACAAGAGTTTAACAATCTAAGGTCTGTAATAAGCCTGAGCTTTCCTCCTTTTTTAACGGCACATCCGATAGGAGAGACACAATATGGAGCACAATCTACTTTACTGAAAAACTGCTTGACCAGCAATTCTTCCACTTTTTCGTTCACAAATCGTTCCTGAGAAGGGGTAAGTACGTGATTTTGGAGACGAAATGTTTCTGGCTCGTGACTAAATGGTATTGGAATGCCCTCGGAAACCCACTGAGTTACTTTGTTACACGAGCCAGGTATCTGTGTCCATTTAGAAACACAACTCTGCAGTGATGACATTTATCAATGTTATTGTTTACAATCTGAGCTAAAAGTACACGTGTACTTATATTCACACAGTTAGTAAATGTGAAAACATTGTACAACAAAAACAACGTTGACAACTCACCGCTATTGTACATGAGTTAGTCCGAATTATTCTGACGTTTTATCGATTTTTTTAATATCGGTCTGTCGTTAATCGACGACAGACTGATATAAAAAAAAAGTCGATAAAACGTCAGAATAATTTGGACTATACGTGAGTGAACCACGTGTTCTAAAGAGTATCGGGCTGACTCCATTGTTTACATATGTACATGTTTCCCTGGCCCCTTACTTAAATTGACCTCATCTCAACCGACCCCAGCTATCTTACATAGACAGCAATCAGTTTCTTCAAGTTACCGAAAATTAAAGATCTCTAACAACTTAGAAAGGCCATTTGTTAATCATTGTTATATACACACACACACACATTTGGAGCTGTTCGCATCAGTACGACTTGTGTAACATAAACATACAAAATTTTAACACGTACATCACATGCAAATTATAATTAGTGAAATCACGGAATTAGATTAGAGGGAATTAGATTAGAGGGTGTTATCTAAGTCGGTGGTATAATATTTGAAGGTGGCGAAACTGCCTGCACCTTTTAGCAAAACCAAGGAAGGTCTGGTGATTCACAAATATTGCTCCGTGACGTCATCTCCTCAGTCAGTACTACGTGCACGAAGACATTTTGATACTACGTATTCGGACGAATTAGTAACTGCACCCTTATCAATGTGACGCCGAATTTGCCTGCACTAACAGCGTTAAACAGTCCTACTGTAAAATCTAAAAATATTAGTAAAGTGACGTTAATTTACACAGTGCTCGTGATTAAGAGTGATTGTATTAAAACTGGAAGTCGGTTGATCTTTACTAATTTATACGTGCAAAGGGATTAGAATATGGGATAAAAAAGGACAAGTATCGCATAATTTCTTCTGCAAATTTCCTTGTGTTGAATTTGCCGCCACTCAGACAATAATTTCTCCCTCAAACTGAAGTAATGACATCTCCCTCGAAAAGTTGACCTATGACCTTCCTCACCAAACAAACATGGACGTCGGAAACCGACAGAGACACGTTTTAAAGTGGTGACAAAGCGAAATAAGAACGAAAGTAGAACTGGATTACAGACTTTTAAGTTGATATGACAGAAAATGTAGACATTGGTTCAGCAAACCGAATAGCTGAGTCTGAATTAGATACAAACTCGCCAGAGATGGGGAAAGGGTTTCGGACGATCGAGTGGGTGACTCGACTTATTTTTGCTGTTGTTATGCGCTTTTGGAAGCTTTGTACTTCTGCAGCACTCATTCTTTTGTTGGCGTTCTGGACTACAGGGGGCGTTGTTACATTCCTCCTCCTCATATTCGCTCTCATAGGTAGGCAATGTAATTGGATGATACGCAATTTAGCTATAGTATTCATTTATTGATGTCTTCTCGTTCGCCAATATTATAGCAGGTCCTTCACCTACAAATTAAAGTTGTATTTTAATTGAAAAATAATGGACGCAGGCTGAAAGCCTCTAAGTCCATATCACAAAACATAGTATAAAAATATTATATTGTCACTGGTTAACATATATAAACATTCCCAAAAGAGTTATTTTAAAAGTCATTATCAGTAATTATTGTAAATAGTGTCCTTCAGATGGTTATCCAACAGGATCTCAAAGTCCTTCGTGGTTTCTGCATTTACAACCAATTCCGGTAGACTGTTCCAGATATCAACTACCCTAAACGTGAACGAGTTTTTCCTTAGCTCTGTACTACATCGTTGTTTATAAAGCTTAAATTTATGTCCTTGTGTTCTTTCGTTATTATCGTAGACAAATATGTCTGACGTGACTTTCGCATCAAACTTCCTCTTCACAATCTTGAAAACGTTAATCAAATCACCTCTAGTCCTTCAGTGTTTTAGTGTCGGTAGTTTTAATTTTTCTAAACGTTCTTCGTAGGAGATTTCTTTAAATCCAGGTAGAAGCTTAGTGGCTCTCCGTTGTACATTCTCTATCATCTGGATATCTTTAAGTTTATACGGACTCCACGCACTGGCTGCGTATTCTAGATGCGGTCTTACCAGAGCCTTAAATAACTGTCTAAAAACGATTCGTCCTAAAAAGTAAATGATCTTCTAATAATCCCGAAGAGTATTGAGCTATATTTTCTCATTAGATTAACGCAAAGTCGCATAAAACAATAAGGTTGATGGTAATGTTGACTACAGAAAGCATACATTTAGATGTTTATTTTCATTTTTCATAAATGTTAAATTTTCGATTATTTTACATCTTTATTTTTTTTAAATAAAAACTATATTTAATGTCTTTTGTTATCTACCTAATAATAAAATCTTCTTTTAAAAGCGACTTTGTTTCGTTTTCCTTAAAAATGAAAATCGAATGAAAATAGCTCAAAAGACGGCTATTTCAGATAGGTCAATAGAGCTATTATAGGTCTTTTCAGCTATATAGCTCAATCAGCAGAGATTTTAACTTGGGACCCTTTGAACTCTAGATGGTCACTCTACCAATTGAGTTACCCTTGTCACCAACGATCCGCTACATTCCCCCCTCCTTTTTCGCCCCCGAAGACACAAGTGTAGTGGTTGGCAAGATCGCCAATTTGGTAACAGGTGAAAAAGAAATATAACGGCCAGACCAGCTTTCGAACCTGGGACCTCCTGAACTCGAGACATACTCAAACCAATTGAGCTACCTGGTCAACCGCAATTGATCAACCCTGTCCAGCTCTGTTACACTCCTCCCTCCTTTAATAAAGTCTAAGACCCCAAAGACAAACAAGACCCTATACCACATTCCGAGGGTATATTTTGTTGGGTGCCAAATGTAATGGAGGTCATTACTTTTTCATTGCCTTCGATAGGGGTTGAACCTGGTACCTCTGACTTACTAGCTATATAGTCTTACGGTCTACCAATTGAGCTACCTGATTTCACTGAATTAGCTAGAATATGGCCGCCCCACCCTTCAGTTCGCTCTATTTATCTTCCTGTTTAATTTGCAGCCCTCCGCTCATAATAATAATATATGGCATTTGTAGCTAGCATTGTATAATAAGAAAGCACTAGACATGGATCAATTTCAAGTTGTAATTTACAGTAGAGGCAAGATTGTCTGTGTCCATCATTTATAGCATTTACATGGTCACTAGTCACTGACACATTCTCACTCTACTACATTCCTCCTTTCTTCAACAAACCTGTGACCCCCTAATTGACTTGTAAAAGACACTATACCACCTTCTGTCGGTATATAAAGTTAAGTAATAATTACAAGAATTTATATAAAACACCTGCAGTGCAGACTATTAACTCAAAATATAATATTGGACTCCCCTGAAATGGCAGGTATTATAAAGGTATTAGTAGTTTTTAATGACCAAGACAAATACAATATGTACACAAATATAATTTTATGATATAATGCATCTTTTGATAAATATCTTGTTGATTTTACAGGATTGTTTTACAATGCTCAGGACATGCTGTTATACTACCCAGACCAGCCCCCACAGTCTCGCCTGTTTGTCCAGCTCCCCAACACCATCAATCTACCATACGAAAATCACTTCATCCGTACATCGGACAATGTTCGAATCAACGTTGTTTTAATCAAACACACGCATGCCAATGCTCCGACTGTGATATATTTTCATGGCAATGCAGGAAATATAGGCCACAGGTAAGCATTTATTAATATTAATGGATTCTCAAAAGGAAATGCAAATCAAACATCAATATTTTTATCAAAGAGTCCATTACCATTAAAAAAAAGAGGCCCATGGGCCTTAACGGTCAACTGATATATTTATACAGAGAGTTGATTTTTGTTTTTAACATGAACAGAAATATTATTCAAAGTGACAAAAAACAATAAAACCTCCTGATTCAATATCTAGCATGCAGATTTAATACTGAAAAGTATTTGAAACTAGCACCTCTGATTCTAAACAAGGAAAATGAAGAAATTTTATTTTAACACACAGACTACATTGGGCCCCACCCTACAGCCATTGGGGGTAGGGATGGCTCAAAATTTTCAAAGTATCAAACTGTCAATTCAAGGTTATATTTCCAATCAAGTTATTAACATGTAATATTCAAAGTATCATTTGCCATTATAAACCATAACAAATTTTGCCCCCCCCCCCCCTCCTTCCCCAGGGGGAAACGTGAGACCCTAGGGTCATAAAATTCACAATTTTGGTAGAGCACCTAAAAACCCTTCCATCTATGAAGAGAATTTGATTCTACCATATCTGGGTCTTGAGAAGAAGATTTTTGAAATTTCAGTCAGTTCAACCCTTTTTGGCCCCACCTATCAGCCCCTGGGGGTCAGTCGGGGCTGATATGTGCATACTATCAAAATGCTACCCAATACTGATAATGCAAACCTAAATTGAATTACTTCCAATGGCAATTAAACAAATTTTGGTCCAAACTGTGATTTCCCTATATAAACTAAAGTAAAGTTTACCCCCTCCCCAGGGGGAAATGTGAGACCCCAGGGTCAAGAAATTCACAATTTTAGTAAGACCCTTACATCTATGAAGAGTATTTGATTCTACCATATCTGGATCTTGGGAAGAAGATTTTTGAATTTTCAGTCAATTTTACCCTTTTTGGCCACGCCCCTGGGGGCTGAGGACCATATAATTCACAATTTTAGTTGGCCCTTGGCCATTGAAGGTTTCTGCAAAATTTCATTGAAATTGGTTCAGTGGTTTTGGAGAAGAAGCCGAAAATGTAAATTGTTTACGGATGCACGACGGACGACGCTGGACAAAAGGCGATCGCAATAGGTCACTTGAGACTTTGTCTCAGGTGACCTAAAAAAATATGATAAATTGCTATTTGAGTCGAGGGTCTGAGGATACAATAGTGAGCGCCATTAAGCCTTTTATCATTGATAGGAGACTTCTGACTCTAAAATTGAGAATTTTTGACTAGTGAATTTGATAAACTACATTGTATTGCTAAGATCTGATAAAGATGCCATTCATATAAAGTGTTATTTTTCCCTAGGGTGTATATACACACATTTTGTTTATACTTTTAGTTCTGAGCATTATCTCCCCTGTTTAAATTCGAACAAGTTTGCAGGTATATGTCATTGTATGACTGACAAGTGAGATTGTTTTATGATGATTTAGGTTTATATAAGGACAGCCACCAGCTGCTAGTGTTCCTTCTGCTATAGTGGCCTCAGAAGCTATCCCAAAGAACAGGCCTTGATTTTACCTCATTTGAAATTATACCGAAGGTTTATATAATAATATATATCCTAAACTTACCTTTAAAGTAGTTTTAAAATGACATTATGACCCCTTTGAGAAAAATCTAGGAACTACAGTGTACCAAAACACATTCATAAATCTCAGGGGGTATACGGTCATGTCACATGATCCTCAGCAGTAATACGGTGGAATCACATGATTTTACAAGGGGTATACGGGTCACGTGTCTTTGTATCTTGTGGCCGGGCAACGGGAGACAACTCGCATTCGTCGTCTGCTTCGCTGTTTCCAAAAAATGGCAAAACGTTTCGCTTTGCATACTGATGAGGAAATACTCGCCAAAAGGGCTAACTATGTGCCACAAAACAATTATAAAAGACTCAAAGGGGTATTTAATCTATCTATTAAAAATTAGTGTGAAACGATGATTTTCTTTAAAATTTCAGTTGGCTAGCTGGGTTAAGTCATTCACTTGTCATTGCTGAAATCAAGGAGATTGGACTCGAGGACTAATAGTAGTCAGTGTGAACGTCTAAAAACCTCATCAATTCTGAAAAGAAAAAGTTTTGGAGTTAAACATTTCGAAGCTACAGACGGAATGAATTTTGAAACAATGATTGCATATCTTGACATTTCTCAAGCAAAATATAAAATACCGGTGCATGATTTAACCTTTAGTGTATATATGGGACATGTTTTCCTCAGATCATATATCATTAATTTTCACAACTTTTGACCTTCTTTATATAAATCGTGATAGCGAATATAAGTACACAGCTTTACTTAACACAATATTTAGATGGGGAAGGGAATGGTGAACACTATCTACACTTGATATAGAATGTGTACGTGAGAAACCAATAACTCTGTAGGAAATTGAAGTTTTCTGCTGTAAATCATACACCTTTCTTTGAATTGTAGGCTTGTAAACAGCCATGGATTCTTTACCTCGTGTGGTGTGAATGTACTACTGGTGGAATACAGAGGCTATGGTAAAAGTGAAGGTTCTCCTTCAGAAACAGGTAAGGCTGTCCCATTCTGTACTACTGGTAGAATACAGAGGCTGAGGTAAACGTGAAGGTTCTCCTTCAGAAACAGGTAAGGCTGTCCCATTCTGTACTACTGGTAGAATACAGAGGCTATGGTAAAAGTGAAGGTTCTCCTTCAGAAACAGGTAAGTCTGTCCCATTCTGTACTACTGGTAGAATACAGAGGCTAAGGTAAACGCGAAAGTTCTCCTTCAGAAACAGGTAAGTCTGTCTCATCCTGTACTACTGGTAGAATACAGAGGCTATGGTAAAAGTGAAGGTTCTCCTTCAGAAACAGTTAAGTCTGTCCCATTCTGTACTACTGGTTGAATACAGAGGCTATGGTAAAAGTGAAGGTTCTCCTTCAGAAACAGTTAAGTCTGTCCCATTCTGTACTACTGGTTGAATACAGAGGCTATGGTAAAAGTGAAGGTTCTCCTTCAGAAACACGTAAGTCTGTCCCATTCTGTACTTCTGGTGGAATACAGAGGCTAAGGTAAACACGTAGGTTCTCCTTCAGAAACAGGTAATTCTGTCACATTATGTACTACTGGTAGAATACAGAGGCTAAGGCAAACGCGAAAGTTCTCCTTCAGAAACAGGTAAGGCTGTCCCATTCTGTACTACTGGTTGAATACAGAGGCTATGGTAAAAGTGAAGGTTTTCCTTCAGAAACAGGTAAGTCTGTCTCATGCTGTACTACTGGTAGAATACAGAGGCTATGGTAAAAGTGAAGGTTTTCCTTCAGAAACAGGTAAGTCTGTCACATTCTGTACTACTGGAAGAATACAGAGGCTATGGCAAACGTGAAGGTTCTCCTTCAGAAACAGGTAAGTCTATCCCATTCTGTACTACTGGTAGTATACAGAGGCTAAGGTAAACGCGAAAGTTCTCCTTCAGAAACAGGTAAGTCTCTCCCACCCCGTACTACTGGTGGAATACAGAGGCTATGGTAAACGTGAAGGTTCTCCTTCAGAAACAGCTAAGTCTGTCTCATCCTGTACTACTGGTGGAATACAGGTGGGGATTTTCTAGGCTCTTCGTTTTTTTCTCTCTCTATCACCTACACCTGGTTCATCTTTAAATGATCATAGCTGATAATAGGATGTATAGCACAAACAAACAAACATACAAATGGTATTGTGTTAGAAGAATTCCAGGGGTTGTACATATTCTGGTGCCTGACAAAGGAATTGGAACATGATCTTTGTAGGAACATGATCTTTGTAGGAACATGATCTTTTTGTAGGAACATGATCTTTGTAGGATCTTTGTAGGAACATGATCTTTGTAGGAACATGATCTCTGTAGGATCTTTGTAGGAACTTGATCTTTGTAGGTTTAAAATCAGTTCCATATTAAGATCAGTCCATCTTTATCTGAAAACTGTGAATTAAACCAGTTATATATTTGGAATTGTCACACCCTTAAATGACCTTAGCTGTTAACAGGATGCTAAACAAAACAATTCCAAACCAACTACTCTTTTGTCAATATGTGTGTTATACATGGTAGACATGTTGACCGAGTCGTGATATATCATTAATGACTTATTACTGCTGTAGGTCTGTACAGAGATGCTGAGGCAGCCATCAACTTCCTATTGGGCAGGAATGATATAAACAGCGAGAAGATTGTGGTGTTTGGACGCTCACTAGGTGGCGCTGTAGCAGTGTGGCTGGCAGCTCAACCTTTCTATGCACAACATATAGCAGCCTTAGTAGTAGAAAATACTTTTACTAGCCTACCCGAGATTGGAAGGACTATATTTAATTTCAAGTTGATGGAATTATTGCCTCAGATATTATTTAAACATAAAGTAAGTATATAACTTTTATTTCATTAAGCTTGTATTATGATTATGAGACATCTATGTTTTTATAAATAATGGGAAGATTTTCATGAACATACATTTTGTCTTTTACTAAAAAAAGAACATAATTATATTATACCAACAGTTATGTGTGTTGCAAATTTAAATCTATCTTGAACGAAATACAATTTACATGCTAAGTACAGTTATGCTTGAGATAAGCAAAACACTTTTTTTCGTATATAAAGGCCACAAGTACAGGTCTTTTTCTAAAACCTATTTTTAAGCTCTCCTTGCCAAAAGGGCCAACTGAGCTTATGCCATGATGTGGCATCTGGCTGGCATCAACTTTCTACAACTTCTCAATAATCAAATCCAAGAGGCTTAAAGTGATGATATTTGGCCAGTAATTATTGTTGGCATGAAGGGCTACCAAGTGTTTTTTAGCTCACCTGCCCGAAATGTGAAGAACTGGAAGACCTAGGGTCATGATATTTGGCCAGTGGGTACCTGGGATGTAGTGCTATAAAGTCTCCTCATTAAAATGACCTTTGCCTACTTTCAAGGTCACAAGGGTCAAATATGTTAAAGAAATTTAAACAACAATATCCTAAGAACCATTTGGACTAGTCATGATACATGAGTATGTTATGAAGACCAGCTGTGTGAATCTTTTTCTACATTACAGTAATGAGGTCAAAGGTCATCTTTGAGTGCTAGTCGGGGGTCAATGGTTAAAACGGGTTAAAAGCTCTAACAATCTTCTCCTCAAGTTCCATAAGGCCCAGGGTCATGATATTTGGCCAGTAGGTACCTAGAATAGAGTGCTATAAACTTTCCTCATTAAAGTAACCTTGACCTACTTTCAAGGTAACGGGGGTCAAATATGTTAAAAACTTCAAACAACAATAACCTAAGAACCATCTGGACTAGAGTCATGATACTTGGTATGTTATGAAGACCAGCAGTGCAAATATTTTTCTTAATTACAGTAATGATGTCAAAGGTCAACTTTAAGTGCTAGTCGGGGGTCAAAGGTCAACTTAGGTTAAAAGCTTTAAAATTCAAATTTCAAACAACAATATCTTAAAAATTGTTTAAGAGATGTTAAAATGTCTTGTGTTCTAGTTACCAAATTTGGTCTGAAGTTACCTATATGTCAGTTTCATGTAACAAAAGAAACATGTGATCGGTACAGGCCGTCTGGGCCACTTGTTAGTAATCCAAACTCCACTGATGATCACCAGTGTTATGTTCTATTTTGTATTACTGATACTTTCTGTTCTCGATTTCCACTGCCCCCAGTTCAAATTAATTGAACAATAAAATAAATATATTTATATTTACGCTATATTTACAACAAAAGTTTTTAATCTGTCAGAAACTATACAAGTCGTCACTATTGTGAACTCATTCTATCCACTTCAAACTTAATTATCTCCAACTATAAACTGTAAAACTGCACAGATCTACAAACTACAGCTAAAACTACTATTATTACTCACTTCCTAATTCTCACTTTAATTCTTAATTTTCTAACTCTCCTCTACATCTCTTTACCTCTCAATTGGGTCTCCCTAACTCAACCTCATTCCTCAAGACTTTTTAACTCAATTCCCCAACCCAACTCTCTTCTCCTCTTTCGACTCCCAAGCTGAACTATCTTACTAAATGTCCCTTAGCAAAATCCTGCTACAATAGAAATGTTGATTCATTAAAATTGTTGATGCTGCTGAAATCCTCTATGACCTTGGCTATTTTTTGTTATATAGGTCAGTCATGGACTGACTGCTGTAGTTATTGTCATGTAATTTCACATGCTAATTTTCCTCTATGGTAACAGCATTAATTGCATGACTTTTATTTTTTATAATGTTGACCTCTGACCTTGATTCAGTATTTTAGTTTAGGTCACATTTCTAGTTGGATCAGTGTTAACTTCAGTGTTTATTGTTGTGTTGACACTGTGATACTTACATGATATGACTGACAGTCTGTTATGGTTCAGAAATATTGATCTGGGTATTATTTACTGCAGTGTTCTTGTTAAATGGTGTTTTTATCATTACTTATGCTTATTTCATCTGCAGTATCCATCAGCTGAACGAATTAAAAAAATAAAGCTTCCTACGTTATTTCTGTCGGGACAAGCTGACGATCTCATTCCGCCCAAAATGATGACAAAACTCCATCAGGTAATTATGTTATCTTTTAAAACAGGTAGAAGTTATATTCATGGGGAAAAAATGGTGTTTCATTGTATGAGGTTACTGGGTAGTTTGATTTACTTACAATACTTACGTATAACAGTTTAATTGTGTTACTGTATTTATGTACACATAACAACCAGCAGCCCACGTAATCGATTTTTAATATAAAATCACAGAAACTAGTGATGTTATGGTAGACTTTGCATACCATACAAAGTTCTCTTCTATTGGAATTTGTATGTTTATGAAGATGAAGGATGGCAGAGAGTAAGATCAACATGTAGAGTAAGATTAACAGGTAGAGTAAGATTAACAGGTAGAGTAAGATCAACAGGTAGAGCAAGAATAACAGGTAGAGTAATATAAGATTAACAGGTAGAGCAAGATAAACAGGTAGAGTAAGATCAACAGGTAGAGGAGGTTATACAGGTAAAGTAAGATCAACAGGTAGAGTAGATTAACAGGTAGAGTAAGATCAACAGGTAGAGCAAGAATAACAGGTAGAGTAATATAAGATTAACAGGTAGAGAAATATAAGATTAACAGGTAGAGTAAGATAAACAGGTAGAGAAAGATCAACAGGTAGAGTAGGTTATACAGGTAAAGTAAGATCAACACGTAGAGTAAGATTAACAGGTAGAGTAAGATCAACAGGGAGAGTAAGATTAACAGGAAGAGTAAGATCAACAGGAAGAGCAAGATTAACAGGTAGAGTAAGATCAACAGGGAGAGTAAGATTAACAGGAAGAGTAAGATCAACAGGAAGAGCAAGATTAACAGGTAGAGTAAGATCAACAGGAATAGTAATATAAGATTAACAGGTAGAGTAATATAGGATCAACAGGTAGAGTAAGATCAACAGGTAGAGGAAGATCAACAGGTAGAGCAAGATTAACAGGTAGAGGAAGATCAACAGGTAGAGTAATATAAGATTAACAGGTAGAGCAAGATAAACAGGTAGAGTAAGATCAACAGGTAGAGCAAGAATAACAGGTAGAGTAATATAAGATTAACAGGTAGAGCAAGATAAACAGGTAGAGTAAGATCAACAGGTAGAGGAGGTTATACAGGTAAAGTAAGATCAACAGGTAGAGTAGATTAACAGGTAGAGTAAGATCAACAGGTAGAGTAATATAAGAGTAACAGGTAGAGTAATATAAGATTAACAGGTAGAGCAAGATAAACAGGTAGAGTAAGATCAACAGGTAGAGCAAGATTAAAAGGTAGAGTAAGATCAACAGGTATAGTAATATAAGATTAACAGGTAGAGGAAGATCAACAGGTAGAGTAATATAAGATTAACAGGTAGAGCAAGATAAACAGGTAGAGTAAGATCAACAGGTAGAGCAAGATTAACAGGTAGAGCAAGATTAACAGGTAGAGTAAGATCAACAGGAATAGTAATATAAGATTAACAGGTAGAGTAATATAAGATTAACAGATAGAGTAAGATAAACAGGTAGAGTAAGATCAACAGGCAGAGTAGGTTATACAGGTAAAGTAAGATCAACACGTAGAGTAAGATTAACAGGTAGAGTAAGATCAACAGGGAGAGTAAGATTAACAGGAAGAGTAAGATCAACAGGAAGAGTAAGATCAACAGGAAGAGTAATATAAGATCAACAGGTAGAGTAAGATCAACAGGTATAGTAATATAAGATTAACAGGTAGAGTAATATAGGATCAACAGGTAGAGTAAGATCAACAGGTAGAGTAATATAAGATTAACAGGTAGAGTAAGATAAACAGGTAGAGTAAGATCAACAGGTAGAGTAGGTTATACAGGTAAAGTAAGATCAACAGGTAGAGTAAGATTAACAGGTAGAGTAAGATCAACAGGTAGAGTAAGATCAACAGGTAGAGTAAGAAGTATGAAGCTATAGTATAATATGCCACCTAATTTGTTAAAATTCAGATTATTTGACCAACATGTGGCATGGTCATGTTGTTACACACATAATCTGCCTACCAGGTATTGATAGCTAGCTGTACAGGTAATCTGCCTACCAGGTATTGATAGCTAGCTGTACAAGTGACCTGCCTACCAGGTATTGCTAGCTAGCTGTACAGATAATCTGCCTACCAGGTATTGATAGCTAGCTGTACAAGTGACCTGCCTACCAGGTATTGATAGCTAGCTGTACAAGTGACCTGCCTACCAGGTATTGATAGCTAGCTGTACAAGTGACCTGCCTACCAGGTATTGCTAGCTAGCTGTACAAGTGACCTGCCTACCAGGTATTGCTAGCTGTACATGTACAGGTGATCTGCATTGTTATTGGGTTAGCCTGCATTTTTTGAAAGCATAACAGTTCTCCAGGATCTATGAAAATTAAAAGGTTCACAACCTATAATTTAATATGAATAAAGAAAAAACAACATACATTCAACAGGAAAATAACTTCTCAATGCCTATTTATGAACATTACTGAGCTTATTTTCTCACCATTTACATGTACATAATCATACAATAAATATAATAACGAGGCACAGTAGTCTAGTGGATGGTAGGATGCCGGGCTCGTGACCGAAGGGTTGCAGGTTCGAGTCACATCACAGCACTCTGTTGTATCCTTGAACAAGATACTTAACTCCCCATGTTCCAGTTTACTCGGCTGTAAATGAGTATGTGGTTGGGCAGTGCTGGAATTGTTGAATGCTAGCTGGTGAGCGCCGACCGTATGCTCCCCAGGGAGTTGAGAAAGATATTAGATGGTTACAAAGGCCCTATAACCACGGATAATAATATGTGAACCGCTTTGAGATGGCCTAGGACCTAGGTGGTGATAAAGTGGTATATAAGAACCTCAAATGATTATTATTATTATTATGTTTACACACTCCTGTCCTGTTTGTAGGTGTCTGGGAGTGGAATGAAGCGAATACACAGGTTTGACCAAGGTACCCATAATGAAACTTGGATGTGCTCTGGTTACTATGAAGCTTTTCTACAGTTTCTCAAAGATGTAAGTTATAATAACATAATGTAGGATAATATACAACATTTATATAGCTCCCTATATAATTTGCAAAATTACTCTTTAGTCGCTTAAAATTTGTCAGTAGACAGTAGCCTAGCTTACAGGAGCAAGCCTTATCCGGTGCGAGATGGAAGACAATATTTTCAGTTTCTGTTTTATTGTAACTCCCGTCAGTATACCTTAGTTTGTTATAAAGTTTTATTGTAACCCCCCTCAGTATACCTTAGTTTGTTATAAAGTTTTATTGTAACCCCCCTCGGTATACCTTAGTTTGTTATAAAGTTTTATTGTAACCCCCCTCAGTATACCTTAGTTTGTTATAAAGTTTTATTGTAAC